ACTTGACTTGTTAGTTTAGATATGAGATGTCCCCGAAAAGTTCATGTGTGAGACAATGCAAGAAGATTTAGAAGTGAAATGATTGAGTTATGAGAGCCTTAACAGGATCAGCAAATTAATCCCCTGAAAGATATTAACTGAGTGATAACTGAAAGCAGATAAAGTGTGGCTAGAGGAGGTAGGTCATTAGGGGTGTGCCTTTGGTCCCTGGCACACCACTTTTACATGTGCTTTCTCTTTCTCCCTTTCTCTTATCCCTCCTCCCCCACTTCTCAGTGATATGTCCTTGAGTCACTTTCTTCCACTACGTTTTTCTGTCATGATGTTCTGCCTCACTGGAGACCCAAGGATTGGAACCAACCTTTTATGGACTGAGACCTCTGAAACCATGAGCCCCAAAATAAACTTTAGCTCTTCTAATTATTCTTGTCAGGTCTTTTGGTCTGGGCAGTAAAAAAAAAAAAAAAAGCTGGCTGAAACACCTGTTAAAGCCCATTTTCCCTTATTTCATGTATGCCCATCTGAATTGCTAAATGCATAGCTTACAAAGGAAGTCCTGAATTGTCTGGCTTGACTACTAAATTATTGTAACCTTGGGCAAATCATTTGACTTTTTAATGGCATTTCCTTGTCTCTACAGTGATGAGATTTTTAAAACCTTAAGAGATAAAAGATGAAGAACTATTATGGGACTGCTGTGTTTTGGATAAGAGACCTCCAAAAGTCCATGTGTTAATTGCTTGATCCTCAGGATGGTAGTAGAGCCCTTAGGAGGTGGGGCCTTTTTGAGTTACTTATATAATTGGAACCCTGCCCTTGAAGGGAATTGTGGAATCCCTGGTCCCTCCTTACCCCACACTGCCTAGCCATGAGGCAAATAGTTTTGCTTTACTGTGTACTCCTACCCTTATGTGCTGTCTCACCATAGGCAGGCCCAGAGCAAGCAGGTGAACCAGTCATGGAGTAGAGCCTCCAAGGAGTAAAATAAAGTTTTCTGTTTATAAGTTAATTACCTTAGTTATTTTGTTATAGCAATGGAAGACTGACTAAAACAAACTTTAGATAAGATGGGTATCACATTTAGGCGTGGCAGTTAGTTCCTGGCTTTCATACTGGACTCTAATGGTTATGCCTGACTCATTGATCCTGGTAATCCTCAACACTTAGCATAGTACCTGATTTAATAAATGACAAATGTTGTCTTACTGGAAAGCAGGAAGCTGATTGGGAATGAATATTTGGGTTGAAACTTGAGAAAGAGACTGTAGGTTGAAAAGGAAATCATGTTAGATAAGGGAAGGTAATGTGGGAAAAGATGGCATATGATAAACAATCCCTTCTGAAATTAATGGAAATAGCAGGAACCAAGACTGAAGCAGTGTCAACAATGTGGAGGGCCTTGGGTGCCAAAGTGTCTTTATATTAAGCTAATCCTATAATGCCTCAAAGCCTTAATGGAACTAAAACATGATTGGCCTATATGTCAAAGTTATTATGAGGATCAAATAAGAATAAAATGTACAGAAATGCTTTATAACCTGTAAAGTACTATCAAGGTATTAAATCAAGACTTTGTCTTGTTTTGGACTTATCTTACTTATCCCACCAGCCCTGAATATGTATCTTCTACCCATGGCAAATTGATTTATTTTCAAATGAAGTATTTCCTTTATTTCTGTCAGATTTCTGACATAGCCCATGGTTTTCCTTCTCCCCAGAGAAGTCTGACTACTTTCTACTTTGTCCCATCGTGCTTACCCTGGAAAGCCAAACTAAAATATTGTTTTCTTTATCACTTATATCCAGTTTTTTTTATATTTTACTCAACTCTTACATGCATTTACTGCAAGAAACAAATTTAATATTTCCTACTTAATTATACCATATAGTAATCTTTGATGTTTTAATTCTGCATCCAAAAAAAGGTAGCTCCCTACAAACAGAAATAACATATTGATTTATTTTATATTTCCCATATTGCTAATTGAAGGTCTTAAGAATAGCAAATATGTATTGAGCCTACAAAAATTTTAAAGTGAACTATGCCTATCTTATTTTTTCTTTCAAAAGAAGGAAAATAATCAGTTTGCAAATAATGAATTCAAGTGAACAACTAAACCTGGAGTATCTTAAATTTGAAATAATGTAACATTTGTAGAACTTGAATTCAGTTGTTCAGGATTTTGAAAAATTAAAGAATAAAAAAGTCCAGTGCTTCAGTGTACCTACTCTTTACTCCCAAAGAATGAAATGGAAGAAAAACGTGAACCATATAATACTATTCTGTAGGTCAAAAACAGTCAAACACTAGAAATTTCAAATTATTCTATCTAACTGTATAATAATCTTTTTTTTTTTAATTTTATTTGTTTTTTTTTATTAGCTACACATGACATTACAATGATCTTGGCAATTCATACACTTAAATCAGTAATCTTAATTGAACTTTCTAATCCCAATATTCCATTACGTACTACAAAAATTATAATCTATTACATTAACACAGAAGTAATAAATATGTTTAGTGAACAGAATAACTTCCATCAAAATCAAACTATTATATGTTGGAAATGTGTATATATGTTTAACAGTTACTATGTGCTGAAACCAAGGTCAAGTGCTTGGAATAAATAATAGACGTGAACTATGCATTTTTTTAGTTTGTTTTCTAAAATATGTTAAGTGTGTGTTTGTGGGGAGAATACTCTATAAACTTATACTTAAGTATATAATTATGAATTGTAATAAATATTGTCATAGAAAAGATATAGAATTACTGAGTATTTTTAGGTTGGGATGGTCAGGGAAATATTTTTGAGAAGTAACATTTGATCTTATATATAAGGGGTGAGTTGACTAGGAGTGATGGTGAATTGACATGTGAAAAAAAAAAGGAAATCAGGTGGAGAAGAGGTGGTGTGGACCTTGGCATGTACACAGATAGAAAATGTATCCTCCTGGCTGGTGATACTGAATGAATGGGATACACATTAGAGTAGACTGGACAGTTAAGAACTATGTAGAATAGACTCCTGTAGCCCAGGTTACAAGTTTGTTTTCTATCTTAAGAGCATTGGAAAGCCATTGAAGATTGATAGGCAGGGATTTATATTTTATAAAGACACAGCCTGAGTACTGAGTGAGGAAGATGGGGGGCAGGAGTGGGGTGAAAGTAAGGAGACAGATTAGGGGAATAATGCAGAGAAAGTGGGAACAAGAGCAATTCAGGGTATGTTCCAAAAGCAAAAACAACTGAATCCCTAGTGGATTAAATGAGGGAACTGGGGAAATAGGATTAGGTGGGTGGGGTATGAACGTGGTAAGAATAACTCACATATTTCTCACTTAAGAGAATGAAGTTCCCTGCAAGTAGGAGAGTTTGGGAGAGAATCAAGAGAAAAGTTTAGACAAATTAAATTTAGTTGTATATGAACATGCAATTGGAGATGTCACATAGTTGGATATATGCCAGAAGCAAATTCAGGCTAAGTACAGACATTTAAGAGTGATAAAGATGTCCGTAGTACTTAAAGCCATGGGAATGATTGTGGAGAGATAAGAAAATAGACTGTATGAGGGTACCTTTTTCTTACCTTGTAGAAACCTGATAGGTAATGAATAAAGGCAGCCCAGTATGAAATAATAGGTGGCAGCTGAAGATAAGCAACAAGGAACTAAGGGAAGGAGGGGGTGAGGAACAGGGGAGAGAACCAGAGTGAATGAGTATAAATGAGCATACATCAACTGAAGAGAACTGTACTTACAGTTCAGTTCAGGTAATTATTACCAAGTAAGGCAGGCTCAGTATTTTTAGAACTCCCATTTTTAAAAAAAGAGAAATGTGGATTTCCATAATTTTCCTAGTATATGGAAAGCAATTCATACTTTAAATTCTGTGAGAATCAGCATTGACTGAACCACTAGTTTGCAATCTCTGCTTCAACAGGGTACTTCAGATTATTTGGTGTTTAGATAGAGCATTAAGTAGACACAGACAGTAGAAAGAAAACCTAGGAGAGATAGTGTCAAAAAATCAAAAATAGAGTTTTTCAACAATTGGAATGTTCCAGATTCTGGTATTCTGCTGATAGGTTTGGTTAGGTGATAACCTGGAAAATGTTAGATTTGCCAATGTGAAGTAGGTCGTTGGTGACGTTAGCAAGAGCAGTTTAGTGACATACAGGCTGCTCACACATGGACTCCCTGTCATTAAAATGCACCATCACATTGAAATTCTCTGACAAGGAAACATGAACTACACAGAAAAGAAAGCAAGCAAACCCCTTCCCACTGAGTGAACAGAAAGGTAAAAAAGCAAAGACTTTAAATGTGAATGCTTCTTTTGGTAAGATTGTTGGTAAAGTGAAACAAAATACAATCAGACTTGAAAGAAGATAGGAATTAATGTGTGGAATTTAGGAAAGAGGCAGCTAGCAAGTTCTTAAGTGATATTTTCAGTTCCCCTCACAATACCACAATGAGGCATTATTTTCCCCTTAGAATTGAGTTAATGAGATTCAGAGGTATTAGGTAGCATATGACAGGTTAAAAGTTAAGTTTACTTGGCTATCAGTCTAATGTATGTTTTAACAACTGTGTCATCTTAGTTTTCATAGATTTGCACAGATCTTTAGTGAAAATAATTTGTTGTTATTCTATTTTATGTTTAATCTTAAAATTCCATTTAGTGTCTTTCTCTGTTGTGCATAAGAGTTGCAAATTTTGCTAGAAGAAAACTCTCATATTTTCCCTGCAGACTTTTTCTGAAATGTTGACACTGTATAGAAGAACTGGGCATGTTCTTTGATGAAGATAGCTTTACATGGAGTCTGTCAAGCCCTAGATGGTTAATAGAATCAGCAACTGGGGTGATCACCAGACACTTCAGAGCTGTGCGACATAAAAATAGGTTTTATCTCAGAAATATAGGCTATCTTAAATGCTTAATATTTTTACTTTTTTCCATTATCTAATATTAGTATAAAAATATTCTCTTTTAGAATGTGAAACACAGAAAATATGCAAGGTGGAAGGCAACGTATATCCATAATTGTTTAAAGAATGGAGAGACTCCTCAAGCGGGCCCTGTTGGAATTGAAGAAGATAATGGTATGTATTTATATAGTTAAGTGAAATTATTTAGTGAGATAATATTTTTCAGAACATTATCCAAAATTTCTAGGAAGAAATGGTACAGTTTTAATTTTTTTATGAAGTCCAAAATCCTTAAAAATCAAGTATAAAAATCATAAACTTGGGGACAATGAGAGATTAAGGCCAAATTGCTATAATATCTATTCACACTTGCACATAATGACTTGAGTATCTCCTACACCGTTTTTTTTTTTTTTTTTTGGTACCAGGGATTAAATCCAGGGTACTTAACCACTGAGCCACAACATCAACCCTTTTTGTTTTGTTTCATTGTTTATATTTTGAGAGAGGGTCTCACTTATTTGCTTAGGACCTTGCTAAGTTGCTGAGGTTTGGCTTTGAACTTGCAATCTTCCTGAGCCACTGGGATTACAGATGTACACCACTACACCAGCTTATCTCCTACATTTTAATCAAATTCTATTCCTGCGTAGGAAAAGCAATGCATTGATAATTTATAAAATGTTTCCAGACAATAAAGAATATTATTATTAATAATTAATTATTATTTTTTGTATACATGTTTGAATTATGCAGGAGTTTGAGGGGGTGGTAGATAAGTAATACATGGTTCAGTAATTACAGGGTATGTGAAAAGTACAAAGAAACTTTCTTCTACCCACACCATGCCCCATATTCCTAAGTCCTACCAAAATTCAGATAAGTAAATATTAGGTTTAGTTTTTGTGTATCTTTATAGAGATCATTTTTTAACTTTATACAGACAGCAAAATTTTATCACATTGTAAGTGGGTTTTACACAATTTAATTATGAAAAAAAAATGAAGGTCTTATTTCACTTGACCTTTTAGATAATGTATAATGGAACAGAAAGGAAAAACATTTTTCACTTTTTTTTTTTTTTTTTATTGATTAGACTTGTAGGTAATAGACCATTCCAAAAAGAACAATCCTGTTCTCTAAACTGAGAAAATTCCAAATGATTCCTTATGTTTTGTTACATCTTCATCTGTGACAATGATCTAATGCAGGAGTCAGTAAATTTTTCAAAAAGGATCAGTTACAATATTTTAAACTGTGGACTACGATTTGTTACAGTTGTTTGACTCTACTGCTATTGTATTAAGACAGCCATAGACAATATGAAAACAACTTAGCATGGTTGTGTTCCAGTAAAACCTTTTTTACAAAAGCAGGCAACCAGCCACTGGCTAGTTGGCCTCTAATATGATTCATCTCCTTATGTTTTATGTTATTATAGAGAATTTTTGAAAGATTGCCTAATGTTAAACGAGCTTTTCACCATGCAACAAATCCCACTTGGTTGTGATATTTTAATTTTATTAATGGATTCAGTTCCCTACACTTGTATCATTGAGGATTTTGCAATGCAGTTATAACTAAAATTGGTCTACAGTTTTCTTTTTGTTATCAATATTATGCTTCTCAAATAAAATTTTGAAAACTTCTAGTTTTTTTCTATGCTTTGGAACAGACTAAGTAGCTTTTGAATTCTCTACTCTGTAAATGCTTCCTAGAAATCTTTTGTGAAATCAGCTTGCCCTGGTACTGAAGATGCTCTTTGGCACTAATTTTTCATGCAAATCTGTCGCCATGGAATTTTTTTTTCCTCAGTCAATTCACACTAAATGAATGTGCACTGATAAAATAAGTGGTATTTTACTTCTTTTAGCCAATCTCAATAATTTCTTCATATTTATAGTCCTTACCATTTTTCAGTCCTGAGTTACACTTTAATATAACAGTGTGCATACTTGTACAGAGTTGTATGTATCCACTGGCAAAATATGAGTTATCTTGAGTATTTCTACAAATAATTTGAAGAATGAGTAGGGGGTCACATAAGCACACAGAAACATGCAGAAATCTTCATTCTGAAAAAACAAAAACAAAACAAGATTCCCAACACACCTACTGGAATCTAAAGCTAAAGTTTTACAGACTCATAGAATTACTGACAAGGATGCTGAACAGCTGCATTTCCCATATACTGCTTATAAAAAAAGGGGAAAAGTTTGGTACTTTCATAAAAAATTAAACATATACTTAGCATATAGGCCTAGCATTCTCACTTCTAATTATCTGCCCAAGGGTAATTCAAATGTATTTTCACAAAAAGACCTATATGTAAATGTTTATAAGAACTTTATCTGTAATTATCAAACTCTAGAAGTAATCCGGATGTCATCAGTTTTAATGAGTCAAAAAATTGTAGCATATCCTTGCACTCAAGTACTAAACAGTTAAAGGTAGTGAACAGATGTATGCAACAATGTGGACTAAATCTCAAAAGCCAAACACAATAAGCTACCTATTATATGATTGCATTTATGTAATGTTCTGAAAAAGGCAATACTATAAGGATTAGAATCAGATCAGCGAGCAGTCAGAGAATAGGGAAGGAGATTTACTACAAAGGAGCACGAGAAACTTAGGGGATGATGGGAATATCCTGTATTATAGCTGTGGTGGTATTTATACACTGTATAAGCTTTTAAGACTACCCACAAAGGATGAGTTTCACTACATATAAATTATTACCTTATAAGAATTTTTTTTAAATAGGAATTAGGGAAAATCTTTGTGTTTTGTTTATTCAAAGATTATTAAAAATTTTAATATGGTGAAAAACACCATACTTTTACATATGAATACTAAGTGTGATTTATTTTAATGTTCATCTCTTTCATACAGCATTTCAAGTTAACTTGTTCTTATCTATTTATGAAGTATATTTTACCATCTGTTTTTGCCTAATTTTTAAAGTAATTTTTCATACAAAATGCTTCTTCACTGGGACTGGGGCTGGGGCTCAGCAGTAGTGCACTTGCTGGCATGTGTGAGGCACTAGGTTTGATTCTCAGCACCACATATAAATAAATGAAATAAACATCTATGAACAACTAAAAACATTTTAAAAAAACCCAAAAAAACTAGAAAAATATCCTTTAAAAAATGCTGCTTCTAGTAATTTTATATAATAAATGCCTCACATTCTTACAGTGCCATAAAACTTGCAAATCATTTTTAACATATTTTATTTCATGTCCTCAAAAATTCCTAAGATCTAGTTCATATAATTCCTATTTTACAGAAGAAATTGGGTATCGTCATGTGTGGCCTGTCTGAGATTATAAAAGCACAAGGAGACAACCAGAACTTGAGTGTTCTGAGTCCTGACCACTCTGAATTAAGTTTTGGGGTTATTCATCATTACAGTAGAAATTGATTATTTTAAGTATATTGCCCTAATTTTCTCACTTTCCAATTAATATTTTAGAATGTTTTACATACTTCCTTTTCTATGTTAATACTGACTATAATCAGGTATGTATCATACCAGGCCTCATGTATATTACTTCTAGTTTAACACAAGAAAAAAATTGAGATTCTTAGCTAATCAACAAGACTCACCACTGTCTGATAACACTATATTTCAATTGCTTTATTTTCTAAACCTACCTTCTATTGTATTAATGTGTTTGGGCTGCCATAACAAAATCCTGCAGACTTTATGACTTAAACTTAACGGAATTTACTTTCACCATTCTGGAGACAAGAAAGTCCAAGACCAAGGTCCAACAGGATTGGCTTTCTGATAAGAACTCTCTCTTGGCTTTCATATGGTTCTTGCTGTGTCCCCCCCCCCCATGCCAAAAAGAGAGCCTCTTCCATTCTTCTTCCTCTTATAAGGCCACAGTCCTGTCAGATAAGGGCCCTATCTATGTCCCCTTTTGACTTTAATATGTTCTGAAGACTCTCTCCAGATAGTAATATTGGGTTGACAGGCTTTACTATATGAAACTTGGGGTGACACACTTCAGTCTGCAGCATTCTGGTCCTTGGAATGTCTTTACCACATGAAAAATACAGTAATTCTTTACTGTGCCCCAAGTCTTAACTCATTCCAACATCACAATCTCACCTGTTAATCTGAATCAGATAAATGAGAGAAATTTTAGGTACAATTCATACTAAGACAGAATTATTCTCCAGCTTTGAACCTATGAATCCAAACAAGTTATATGTTTCCAAAAACTACAGTAGTGGGACAGCCATAGATAAAATAGGTATCCCCATTCCAAAAAAGAGAAATCAGAAAGAAAAACAAGGGACAGGTCTTAAGCAAATCTAAAACCTAACAAAGGCAAATTCCATTAAGGTTTCAAACTTAGAAATAATCCTCTTTAATTCAGTTTAGTGTTTTACCGTCTGGACCCACTGGTGTGGTAATCTCATCCATGAGGTTTTGCCCACAAGACTCCAGGCCAAGTGGCTGTGTCCCTATAACTCTGGATGGAAGCAATCTAGCACACTGAAATAGAGGTGATATCTCCACCCTTAAAGAAGATGAACACGTATTTACAACTGAGCAGTTTATGGTTAGGTTCTATGTGATCTAAGAAGGATGACAGCCTTCCTTCATTTTGTCTCTTTCAATCCACTTTAGTCCTAACTGACAATGTTTTTACTGCTAAAATTCCATTTTTATTCCTGGCTTCTGCTTAGACAGCTGATCAAGTCCATGAGTTGCACCCTAGTTTCTTTATTAAATGGTTCTTCAGCCACACCCATAGTGTTTTCTTAAAACAAGCGTTCTAATTTTTTCAATATGGATAAACTAAGAATTTTCCCCAAGTCTCCCAAGTCCTGGTTTCTCTTGGCCTAATAAATCCTTTTTAATTTCCCTCTCTCTACATTTTACTATAAGTACTAAGGAGAACCAAGCTTCACCTTCAGTATTTGCTGAGAAATCTCCCCTGCCAAATATCCAGTTTCATCACTAGAATACAATTTAGCCAAGATTTTTGCCACTATGTAAGAAGGATCATCAATATTCTTCATTTCTATCTAAAACCTTACCAGAATTGTGTGATTTTGTTTTTTTGTTTTGTTTTTTGGTGTGGAACGTGGGATTTAAATCTCCAGGGGGCCATTATTTTACCACTGAGTAACATACATCCACTAAGCTA